ACCAATTTTCCAATCATGCTCTTTCCAAGCCCCTGACCAGTCTGTTGGCTAAAACCCATGAATCAGTGAACAGTCACATATCTGGCCATTTCTTCTTCTAAGCAAAATGCATGACCATGTGAAGATTTCCCTTTGCCAGTGTCTTTCAGGGTTGTCTCACAAAGGGCTGTAATGCTGCAGCTGTCCACTTCTGGGTAGTGCTTTCATGATGTACAGAACTGTCAGTAAACCAGGCCCTAGTCTTCTCTTCCTCGGTCAACTGATCATAGGGCACACCCCATGAGGCTGCAGGTGCATGTTTGGAAGCAGATGGCATTGTAACAGGAGTAGAAACCATAGGCATTTGGGCAACTATAGTTTGGAAGTTTTCCTGTGTCCCGGCTGGCCAGTGGTTGGGACAAATGTCTCCCACTCACATCCCCCAAGTAAACACACAGAGGCTTATATTAATTATAACTGCACAGCCATTAGCTCAGGCTTCTTACTGACTAGCTCTTATGCTTAAATTAACCCATAATTCTTATATATGTTTAGCCACCTGGCTTGGTACCTTTTCTCAGTTCTGCCAGGGCTACACAGAAAAACCCTGTCTAAACAAACAAACAAACAAACAGAATAACTGAACAGTCTCACTTTATGGTATTTTCTTTTTTGATACATGGTATTATGTTGCCCATGCTGGTCTCTAATTGGCTATGTAGCTAAGGATGATTTGGTTATATCTATCCATCATCTATCTATCTATCTATCTATCTATCTATCTATCTATCTATGTACCTATTTATCTATCATGTATGTATGTATGTATGTATGTATGTATGTATGTATGTATCTATCTATCTATCTATCTATGTACCTATTTATCTATCATGTATGTATGTATGTATGTATGTATCTATCTATCTATCTATCTATGTACCTATTTATCTATCATGTATGTATGTATGTATGTATGTATCTATCTATCTATCTATCTATCTATCTATCTACCTATCATGTATGTATGTATGTACCTATTTATCTATCATGTATGTATGTATGTATGTACCTATCTATCTATTATGTATGTATGTATGTATGTATCTATCTATCTATGTATCTGCGTGTATGAGCAGTGTGCCACGGTGTGCATGTGGGTCAGAAGAGAGGACAACTTTTGGGAGTCGATTCTCTAGCTCTGCAATGTGGGTGCCAAGGATAGAACTCATGTCAGGCTTGGAAGTCGGCACTCTTAGATGCTGAGCCATCTCTCTGGCCCTGAGGATGACTGAACTTATGGTCTTCCTGCTTCTACCTCCTCAGTTCTGGGATTACAGGCCTGTGCCACCATGCCCAATCTTGTGCTGCTGGGGACCAAATGCCAGGCTTTCTGCATGAGTCACACATTTTATGAACCGAGTTACATCCTCGGTCTTTGCCCGTGTGTGTGGGAGTTTTAAATGCTTCCCTTTGGTGTAGGAGTGAGTAGAAACTGTGTTCCTGTGGAATGACCTGTATGTGTCAGGGAGCTGAGCTGACTTGACAACCGTAAGCCATAAACTGCTTTTGTGTACTAGATGAGGTGGCTTCTGCCTGTGATCCCAGGATTTGGGACGCTGATATGGGAAGATAATGTGTTTGCGGCCAGCCTGAGCTACATAGCAAGACCCTTTCTCAAAAAAACAAACCCGACGAGTTGCATGTGTGGTTTATGTGTCACACGGTGTCTTGGCTCTTTTTCTATTATTGTGTAACAATAATGAACAAGGTAACTTATAGAAAAAAGAGTTTATTGGGGCTTACCTCTGCAGAAGGTTAGAGTCCATGACCATTGTTGTTTCTTTTTGGGGGGCTCACCACCCAACTCCCAAATAAATTCACACACGGAGGCTTATTCTTAATTATGATTGCCCTGCCTTAGCTTGGCTTAGTTTCTTAGTTTCAAAAAAACCCTGCCAGCTTTTTTTGTTTTGATTGTTTTTTCAAGACAGGGTTTCTTTATGTAGCTTTTGGAGCCTGTCCTGGAACTTACTCTGTAGACCAGGCTGGCCTTAAACTCAGAGATTCACCTGCCTCTACTTCCTGAGTGCTGGGATTAAAGGTATGTGCCACCACTACCAGGCCTAGTCAGCTTTTCTTAACTTATTCCAACTATCTTTTGCCTCTGGACTTTTCCCGTTTTCTTATTTCTGTAAATCTTACTCTTACTCTGTGGGTGGCTGTGTGGCTGTGTGGCTGTGTAGCTGGGTGGCTGGCCCCTGGAGTCCTCCTCCTGCTCTCTCATTCCTAGATCTTTCTCCCAGATTTCTCCTTCTATATATCCTCCTGCCTGCCAGCCCCGCCTATCCTTTCTCCTGCCTCGCTATTGGCCAGTTCTTCATTAGCCCATCAGTTGGAGACAGTCCCAGGCACACAGAAGTGAGTGATGGGGAAAGAGTCCATGGATGGTGTGAGTTCAGCTATGGTTTCATTTCCCCATTACTCTATTGTTCACCAGAGAGATTTACCATTTTTCCTTTTTCTTTTTGTTTTTTGGGGGGTGAGAGGAGACAGGGTTTCTCTGTGTAGCATTGGCTGTCCTGGAACTTGATCTGTAGACCAGGCTGGCCTCAAACTCAGAGATCCACCTGCCTCTGCCTCCCAAGTGCTGGGTGGGATTAAAGGTGTGCACCACCACTGGTAGATGAAAGACATATTTTTGTTGTTGTTGTTTTAGACCGGGTGACATATTTTTTAAGTTGAGCTTAACAGAAAAGTATAAAACAAGCAGATTCCAGCTGAATGGATACAGTAAGTCTCTACATATGAAAATCACACCCCTAAAGAGGTTGTAGGCAGGAGTTGGGTGTGGTGGTCCACACATAGAATCCCAGCATTTGGGGCTGAGGCATGAAGCACTTGCACTTGAGACCTTCTGGTCTATAATTACCAAGCCTGTGGATTTGAGAAAATGAATTTTCTCAGTGAGACACTGGGAAGGTGAAGACTTCAAGGCAGCTTCTGTTGGCAAGTGATGTGGAAAATGCTAGACATTGGTACCTGGCCAAGGTTTTCTCTGAGGTGAATGTATGATCCTGTGAGCAGGTAAAAAAATCTCACTTATGAGGAAACATAATTGCAGCTTATCTTGTCCCCGAAGAAATAGTCTTTAAGTAGCAAATGAACCCTGTTAATCTCTGTGTCCCAAGTTCTTTGTTTGAAATGTTTTTGTTTTGTTTCGTTTTTCGTTTTTCTGTTTTGGTTTTTTGAGAAAGGGTTTCACTGTGTAGTTTTGGTGCCTGTCTTGGATCTTGCTCTGTAGACCAGGCTGGCCTTGAACTCACAGAGATCCTCTTGGCTCTGCCTCCCAAGTGCTGGGATCAAAGGCATGTATCACCGCCGCCCGGCTTGAAATGTTTTTTGTTTTGATGTTTATGTATATGTGTATTGGCCCGGTTCCATGAAGTTCAGAAGAGGGTGTTGGATGCCCTGGAACTGGAGTTACAGATGGTTGTGAGCTACCACATGGGTGCAAGGAGCAGACCCCAGGTCCTCTGCAAAAGCAGCTCTAGTACCCTTAACCACTGAGCCATCTCTCCTCACATTCTTTGTCAGTTTCAATGTGGACTTAGAGAAGCACTACTTTCCATGTTTAAAAATATTTGAAATTTTAGCTGGACATGGTGGCATGTATCTGTAATCCCACAACTAGGGAGCTAAAGGCAGGTAGATCAGGAGTTCAAGGTCACCTTTGGCTACATAGTGAGTTTGATGCTAGCCTGGACAATGATAACCCTGTTTCAAAAAAGGAAAAAATAGGGTATCTTAAATTATAAAAATGGGGCACAATATTAAAACTGCATGGAAGACTAGGAAGCTAAAGCCCTCTTTCCCCCCACAGCTGTTTTTTCCTTAGAGAGCAAGGAGTGTTCTGTGCATAGTCAAGGTGTGTCACAGCTCTTGTTAGACAGGCAATGTTGGGTGACAGTGAGGCCAACAGGCATGCAGAGAGGATTCTTGTTCCTTCTAACTGAACAAGGGAATCGGAATAAATGCATTGTTTTGAATTTAAGAATGAAGCATTTTCATGAATTTAAGAATGAAGCATTTCCTCTTGGTCTTATGGGAGGGCTAGCGAAGGGGCACAGGGACCATAGGCATCTATGTATCCAAGGACTATGGAACCCAGAAAGCTGGTAGCACTGCTCCCGGAGAACATTCCTGGTGCCCTCTCCCTGCTCCTGTGTGTGCCAGCCTGGCTGTCTTCCCAGCTCTTGTTAACTGCTGTCTGCTCAAGAGGGAAGGTCTCTACCTGGGCACATTCCCAAGGGTTGGTCCTCTTTTGATTCCAATATATTCTTTGTCTGAGTTTACTATTATAGTTTTTTTTCCCCACACATCAGTGCATTTCTACTCCATTTTCTTTATATATACAATATACCTTATCTATATACCAGGATAAAGTATCGCAAATCCTAATTGATCTTAATAACAAAAACTCGGAGTCAGATATCAGCGTAAATGTGAAAGATCAGAGAGATAAAGGAGCAAGCCACAGCCACCTCTTATCACGCCAACTCCTCAGCCTGAAGGGGCCCAACTCCTGTCTCCACCCCCCTTATATTCTTTTCTTTCTGCTCAGCCATATCACTTCCTGTTTCCTCCTCCCTAGTACTGGGATTAAAGGTGTGTGCCACCACTGCCTGGCCTCTATGGTTAACTAGTGGCTAGCTCCGCACTCTGATCTCCAGGCAAGCTTTGTTAGAGCACAAAGTATTCTTGTTCTTTTCACATGTTGTACTGTATGGCTGTGTAATGCTTTCACCGGTCCTATTTCCATTTTGATATTAGTGACTCAAGCACATATAATCTTAATGGTTTTTATGCTCATGTGGGTGAACTGAAACATGAAATTTTAAAGAGTCAAAGAATGTTAAATGTTAGTAATTTCTAAAAGTATAATACTAGTTTCTACAGCTCAAAGTGGGTCCACAGTTCTTTTAACAAACTGTCATTTATAAGGCCAATCAATATAAACTTCACTGTGTTTTCCTTTTTCCGGTAGGTGGGCATTAACCACCAGCCCCTCTGTGGTCCCTGGGGGAGACCTGGCCCAGGCACAGCAGGTCATATGCATGATGAGCAATACCACTGCCACTGAAGAGGCCTGGGCTCACCTAAATCACAAGTTCAACCTCATGTATGCCAAGGAGGCCTTTACGCATGTGCATGTGAGAGAAGGTGTGGAGAGGTGTTCTCTCTGAGGCCCACAGGACCTGGCAGAACTGGCAAAGGGTATGTAGAGATGGCGGTGGATTTTGCAGAGTCAGAGGCTGAAGAAGGGGAAGAACACTGAGTGCAGCTCTGTGGCTGGCAGCCATATCTTTATCTCCTCCCCACTGCTAACATTACTTTTATTGTGTACAGTACTTTTTTAAAAAACAAAGGTCCCTGTCTAGATACCAGCCTTTCTTAGAAGGGCCAGTTAGCCAACTAGTGAACTCCTCTGGGGCAAATACATTTGTTTTCCCTAAGACATTAATAAGTATGTCTGTATGCTCAGTTAAAAGCTTCTAACTAGATAAGGGAATTAGGGCAACACTCATTATTTAATGTGAAGAATGAAGTCCCTCACACCACGTGTGAACAGCATGGAGTGGCTTTTCATCCTGTCTTGTGAGAAGGCTGACAAGAGTGCAGCGGGGGCTCCACTCAAGCTGTAGAAACCTGGTTTCTGACATGCCATTTCTTCCTTGGCTTTCCTCCACTGTTGGCGAATGGAAGCATCCTATTCACTGCATGTCCCCAGATGGTACTCGGTCACCTCTCTACCTCCTTCCTGGTATGGAAGAAGCACTGGTCTTTATTTAAAGAATTTGATCTAAAATGGACCCCCAGGAGTGCCAGATGTCACAATAAAGTAGATGCTGTTGTCTGGCCCAGCTGGGAGTGCCAGGTTTCTCTTGAGATAGTGCCACAATCCCAGTGGGCTCAGACACTGGCAACCAACCTCTTGGCGTGTTTGCAGTCCGCCGCTTATGCAGTTAATTTCGTTACTCTAAGAACTCTTTTTTTGTCTTTACATTTTACTTTGTGCATATGTATGCATGCACATGTGCAATATGTGGGGGTCAGAGGGCAATTACTGGGCGTTGATTCTCTCCTTCTACCATCTGGGTCCGGGGAATCAAACTCAGACCTTCAAGGTTGGCATCAAAGCCGAGGCACCCGCGGCCCTTGGCGGGGTTCTTTCAGGCTGGCGTCCAGGTTTTTCTTGGTGGTGGATCTTTGTCAACCAGAGTGTCCGCTTACGAGGTTCAGGGAGCACTGCAGACCGCACCCGGGCTGCTTCGTGCAAACGGCGAGCGCTCAGTAGTTACCCTGGATACACAAACAAAGCCAGCGAGCAACCGCACAGCTGACCCAGGGATCTCCAGCACCTCAGGAGCAACGACTGCCCGCACTCCCAACATCCGGTGGCCCTCCCGCCAGGATCTCTTCCGGTCCCGCCCCTTGAGGGCGGTCGCCACCGGCTACGGAGTCCCTACGCTACCAACTTCCGCATTGACCCACCCATCGCGAGACTTTGGCGGCGCAGCAATGGCAAGACCGTGAGTACCGCTGACGGGAGTCTATAGAACGAGTTAGGACGGGGCTGGGCCCGGGTCGGGCCGCGGGGGAGCCACAGGCTCAGGCCCTCTGGAGGGAGTGGCGGCTGGGGTGAAGGCAGTCCTCCCGCGCCCGCCGCCGCCGCCGCCGCCGCCACCCAGTTCCCGCCCCTTCCCCAGATGCCGCGACACTGCTCCGCCGCCGGCTGCTGCACACGGGACACGCGTGAGACTCGCAACCGCGGCATCTCCTTCCACAGGTCAGCGCGCGTGCGTAGTGGCACGCGAGGGCTCACATGCGCAGGCGCTGGTGTTGCCGCACTTTAGGCCGCGCAGGAGACAGCGCCTTCCTGAGGTCGAAGTGAGGCTTGAACTTGTGAGCGGGAGGGTGAAAGGGGCGGTCGAGTAGTCTCGAGTCCAACCGAAAAAGGACTGGACGCTTACTTGCCTTGGACTTGGAGCTCGGACTCTTTCCCGCTAGGTGATGCTGAGCAGGCCCCGCTCCTTCTCGTCCTCAGTTTCCTCTTAGCGGGTGGTAATCCGAAGGGGTCGTGGGGAGGTGTGCCGGTCTCGCCTGGGAGCTTGGGCATCCTGCTAGCAGGCCGCAGCAGTCTGATGCTCACGGTTTTGTGGCCCTGCAGACTTCCCAAGAAAGACAACCCCAGGCGCGGCTTGTGGCTGGCCAACTGTCAGCGGCTGGACCCCAGCGGCCAGGGCCTGTGGGACCCGGCCTCTGAGTACATCTACTTCTGCTCCAAACACTTCGAGGAAAACTGCTTTGAGCTGGTGGGAATCAGGTGGGTCTTTCTGCCGGCCAACACCAAGTACAGGTTGTGAGGCATCAGAGCGTTGGGTCAGGTGGGGCCGCCCTGTGCCCTGGTGAAGTCATGAACTGGCCGGCATGCTCACAGACAGGCAGACCTACTGTCAAGGGTGCTGTGGCGGCTTCTCAGTTCTGTACGGTAAAGCGTGGCCCCAGGATCACCGTTCCAGTGGCGCCTGAGAAAAACAGCCTTTCCTGGCTGGGGAGACAGCCCCGTTGGTAGACTTGGTATGCAAGCACGAGGACTTGAATTCACATTCAAATACCCAAATAAAAAGCCACATGTGGTGCCTGTTCTTTTAATCCCAGGCCTGGAGAAGACAAAACAAAAGGATATCCTGGGCTCACTGACAGCTAGCTAGTCTAGTTGAGTTGTTGAGCCCTGTGTTCAAGGAGCCCTGTCTTAAAAACAAATGAAACAAACAAGGTGGGTGCACTGGAGAGAGCGAACCAGTTTAAAGCACTTGTTACTCTTCCAGAGGACCAGGGTTCAGTTCCCAGCACTAGGGGATCCCTTGCCTTCTTCCCACCTCTGAAGGCACTGGCACATAGGTGGTACACATGCATGTACACAGCAAACATTCATACTCCTAAAATAAACAGGGCTGGCTAGGTGACTCAGGTTAAGAGCACTGCTTCAAGCCAGGCGGTGGTGGCACACACCTTTAATCCCAGCACTCCAGGAGATAGCAGCAGGCAGATCTCTGAGTTTGAGGCTAGCCTGGTCTACAGAGTGAGTTCCAGAACAGGCTCCAAAGCTACACAGAGAAACCTTGTCTCAAAAAAACAAAGAGTGCACTGCCTTCTTCTAGAACCTGGGTTCCTTGCTGTCATCCACATGGTGGTTCACAAGTCAGGAAACTCTAGTTCTAGGGAATCCATTGAGGAAAGCCTCTGGTCTCCACACAAGAGAAAAACAGCTTTTCCCTGGGGTATTCAGCACCTAGTTCTTTGAGCAGGCCCCCCCATGAGAGAATTCTTTTGACTGGCCCACCTAGCCCTGCTGGTAGAGGTTTTCCATTCAACTCTGGAAGCTTATTTGCAGGGAAGACTAGTTTGATTTTACCTTGGTGGCATTCTTCAGATTCATTATTGGCAGTGTGCCTTGGAGCCTCTCAGCCCTAGTGCTGAGGGACCTAAGTTGGGATCCCAGGGGAAGTGGCAGCACTTTTTCTCCAGCTCATCTGGGCTGCTTTTCCCCACAGTGGGTATCACAGGCTGAAGGAAGGGGCAGTCCCCACCATATTTGAGTCTTTCTCCAAGTTACGTCGAACAACCAGGACCAAGGGGCATGGTTATCCACCTGATGTCAGCCAGCTCCGGCGATGCAGGAAGCGGTAGGTGCTGCAGGAGGGGGATGCCCCACCCTCCCCCCAGGGCTGAGGGACTGGACTGTAGGGTGAATGCCAGTGTCTTCACTGAACAGGGTTCTTGCTGCCTAGACCCAGTGAAGGGGCTCAGGTGTTAGGAAGTCTAAGAGGGTGTATGAGAGGGGCCTGGCATGCCCCGAGTTGGCTAGTCAGTTCTTTGTGTCTCCCCTCCAGCTGCTCTGAAGGTCAAGGACCCACAGCTCCATTTTCTCCACCTCCTACTGATATCATCTGCTTCCCTGTGGAAGAAGCCTCAGCACCTGCCACTCTGCCTGTATCCCCAGCTGTGAGGCTGGAACCTGGCCTCAACAGCCCCTTCTCAGATCTTCTGGGCCCTCTAGGTGCCCAAGCAGACGAAGCAGGCTGTAGTGCCCAGCCTTCGCCAGAGCGGCACCCCTCCCCTCTTGAACCACGGCCTATCTCCCCATCTGCTTACATGTTACGGCTGCCACCGCCCGCTGGAGCCTACATCCAGAATGAGCACAGCTACCAGGTGGGGAGTGCCTTGCTCTGGAAGAGGAGAGCTGAAGCGGCTCTTGATGCTCTGGATAAGGCCCAGCGCCAGCTGCAGGCCTGCAGACGGCGGGAGCAGCGGCTCAGGCTTCGACTGACCAAGCTGCAGCAGGAACGGGCGCGAGAGAAGCGAGCACAGGCAGATGCCCGCCAAACCCTTAAGGACCATGTTCAGGACTTCGCTATGCAGCTGAGCAACAGCATGGCCTGAGGACACACCAAGGCTCTGGTGTGCCTCTTCCTCAGAGGCACTTGATGGGAACTGCATCCACCAGGCTGGCCAGAAGTGTCATAATAAAGTGGATGCTAGAAAGAGACCCTGCTGCCTGGCTCTGCTGAGGGTGCCAGGCTTCTCCCCAGACAGTGGCCAAAGTCCCAGAGGGCTCAGACCCTGGCATGCAACCTCTTGGCCATGGGGACTCTGTTTGTAGTCCCCTGCTTATTTATACTCTTTCAAGTAAGAAAGCCAGCTCCTGAGTTCAGCTCTGCCCCTCCCCCTCCTTTTTTGAGTCAGGGTTTCATGTAGTCCAGGCTGGTGTCATTGAAGCTAGAGAAGACCTTGAACTCCTAATCCTCTTGTACCTTCTGAGTGGAGTGATAGGCATGTGCCATCATGCCCAGTGCTAGACTTGGTACTTATGGAGAGGCCCAGCAAGCCTCTACCCACAGGCCTCATCTCTTTGGCCAGTCCCGTGCACTGCCCACTCCTGGCCGAACTTAGGGAGCCTCAAAACCAGCATAGGGTACTACACTTGCAAGGCCACACCTAGAGACATGTTAGTCTTTTAGTAACGGCATTCAGGCCCTGGCCTTGGTACTGTATTTATCTTGGGAACTTAGTTTCTTACTATAGCTGTGTCCATGGTAAACACAAAGCACGTGGCCTCTCCCTGCTGCTCCTTGGCCACGTAGCTCAAGCACAGTTGAGTTTCTGGCTGAGTTCATACACAAGGTTCTCAAAGTTTTCTTTTTGGAGCCCTGGGTGAATGTTTATTTGTATCCTGTGTAGAGAAAAGTCCAGTTACAGGGGTCAGCAAGATTTGCCGACCGAAGTTTTCAGGTGTTCCCCTGAAAAGAGGCTTAGATGAGGTCACAACCTTGGGGGAAGGGCTGACACAGCACAAGTGACTCACCCAGCCTGCCTGGCTGCCCACCATAGGCGGGACCCTCCACTTAGCTTAGCTCAGCTACCATCAGCTTGTGCCTAGTACCTCATCTTATAACCAGACCACTTCCTGGATATCTGTATGGGACTGCCACCCAGGGCACTTTCTACCTGGAGCCCCACAGCATGGGGTGAATGGAGCACAGGAGGGAAATGTTTTAAGTCCAAGAAAAGTCAAGCATTTCTCCAAAATGAATTCTGCCTTCCTAGGACAGAATAGGTTCCTGTACGCAAAAAAAAAAAAAAAAGGTCCACTATGCTGTATTGGGATGTCAGGTAACAAGGATGGATGCCCCGGACAGTCCCGGTCTCTGGGGAGATAGATACTCAGTTTTCTCTCCCTTGTGACTGACACCATGTGTTGACATGGGCAGAACAGGGAAGACGTGCTAAACCCACATCTGGGGAATCTCCTAAGCCATAGAACTGTCATGGGCTTCAGGAGGGCAGACGGAAGGTGGCCTCTATGCCAGCCAGGTGTGGACATAGCATCGCCACAGCTTTTAAAGGAGGCATGTCAGTGGCAGAACACACACAGGAGTGTTTCTGCTGACTTCTCTCTGGCCCAGATACACACACTGGGTGGGCCAGAAATGCAGCCTCTCTGGGAGGCTTAGCTACACTTGCTGCCCTGTGGGCCGGGAGCAAAACCTTTTTTTTTTTTTTTTTTGGTTTTTCGAGACAGGGTTTCTCTGTGTAGCTTTGCGCCTTTCCTGGAACTCACTTGGTAGCCCAGGCTGGCCTCGAACTCACAGAGATCCGCCTGGCTCTGCCTCCCGAGTGCTGGGATTAAAGGCGTGCGCCACCACCGCCCGGCGCAAAACCTTTTAAAGTTCATGTCTAGGATCAGATAACTGTCACTGGTCCCCATCAAGTTCTGGGTAAGGGGTGGAATATACCCTATTGTTAATTAGAGTAGCTTGCCAAGCCCTCATCCCCTAACAGTAGAATTCTATGCCTGGATCCACAGCACACATCATCTCTCTACCTCCTGAGTGGTGTGCCTGAGCCTTGGTCTCCTTGGGGGAGGGGCCAGCTGGGAAGGGAGTCTGCTTCCCTTGCCATCCCTGTGGGGCCTGTGTCCTCAATGATGAGCAGCCTGTAGGAGTTCCTGTACACCTCAGTGCCCTGTGGAAGCTGGGAACCACAGGTGTGGTCACTCTGTAGGTGGAGATGTGGCCAATCGGTCGAGTGTCATCACTCTCCAAACAGGTAGAGTCCTCGGAGATCCTCAGATGTCAGCACCCAGCTCTGCACACTGCTTGTCAGAGATGTGGGAGGCCAGGGAGTCTATGATGTCCAGCAGCAGCTGCTGGCTCAGCAACCGCAGTGTGGGCAGCTTGGAGACCTGCACAGATGACCAGAACTAGATGAAGCCAGACCCCAGGAGGCCCAGGGTGGGCAGCCGAGTCCTCTCGGGGCCCAGCCTGCTGGGGAGGGCTGGGACCTAGAGCACTGGGGCCAGAGCCTGACCTTGGTGAATTGGTGCACAATGATGTGCAAGCAGTGCCGCTTCATGTCCAGGGCCTGCGTCTTGTCAGCCGCCTCCAGAATCTGCAATGGCAGGAACCATGAGGCACTGCCCCAGCTCACCCACAGATGAAGGTGTGGCCTGAAGGGTACCAAGGCTCTACCTGTAGCACATTCTGTACGGTTACGTTCATCTCCAGGTTCTGCTTGCAGTATGCCTGCAGTCTGTTGTTGTAGAAGCCATAGTAGTAGGGGGCCGCAAATAGGTAACTGGGCACAAGTTAAGGAGCTGCCAAGTCATAGGACACATTCACTTGCATCCACCCATCCTGCCACATCCCTTGTCCTCCAAGGGAGGGTACTGCCAGAACTACACAAACCTCAGAAGCCAGAGCTCTAGTTTGGGCTCCAGCTGGCTTACTCTCTAAACTGGTTCTGAACCATTTTAGGCTCAGAGGCCCCATTCAAGATCCAAAGAAAACCTGAATCCTCTCATTCCCATGTGCACATTCACAGAACTTTTCCAAGTCTTCTCAGGCCCCATCAGGTGTCCTTGCACCTCAAGTTCAAACACTACTCATAAAGCATGAGGAATCACTTTGTCCAGGAGGCCCAGCACCAGCATCAGACACTCTAGAATTAGGTACCAAGCCAAGATCACCCAGCCAACAGAATGGGAACCAAACATGTCTAGGAGGTGCTAAGACTTCTCAGTGGTGACCCAGGAGCACAAGCAGGTAAAGGATGCAGTGAGTCCTCAGGGGGCATGTTGACCTCTCCATAGTAGATGTAACGTAGCATGGACTCAAAGGCCTGTCTGCTAGGCACCATCTCCCCGATAGAGATGTTCACCTGCCCATCCTCCGGCATGAATGAACGGAACATGGCCTCAAAGTAGCTGCAAACGAGGAGGTAGATCCCAGCCCTCAGGAGAAGGAAGCATCACGGCCCTGCCCCGCCCCTCACACCCTTAGCACACCTAGACCGGGCAGCCAGGATGGCCTTGTGGGCTGGTCGCGGGTGGCCATCGAGCAACAGTGTGATGTCACAGAACTCCGAGCCTGCCCCCTCCAGGTATGCCTTCATGTCCTGGATCAAAGATGTGCCTGGGGGATGTAGAAGGACCTTGAAAAGACTCCCACCTCTACCCTGAATGAAGAGGCTACCTTTGTTTTCTGGCCCAGTAGGTACCGCCTCTCCACAGTGACCATGTCAGAAGTACCAGTTTGTCCTCTCCTCAGCCCTCAGGTCACCTGGAAACTGGCCCTCAGGGATGCTGCACCAATAACTGACCTTCCACGATGTGCCCTACATGCCCAGCTCCCAGTCTCATGCTGGACTCCCCTCCAGGCTCATCTTTTGAACTCATGCCAGTGGCAGGGGCTAGTATAACCCCCAAGGAGAGTTGGGAAGGTGCTATCAATCTTCTCCATCGGCCAACAAGATATAGCTGCAGCTGCCTGGCTCACTTAACATCAGATCTGACCAGCCAACCAGAGAAGGCACAAGTCACCCTGAGGAGTGGGTTTCGTGGTATCCAGGCTCACGGGCACACAGCTTGCTGTTGGAAGCCCCTATGGGTTCTTTGAGACGTGCCTGCCTCTGTTCCTCCCAGCCTTTGTGCCTGTGACACCCGAGGGGTCACAGAGCCACCCTTACCCCAAGGGCCTGGCAGGTAGGTAGTTACTAAGTCTCTCATCACTACTTCCCTACCAATGTCCACGGGTTGATCCGAGGGTGCTCGAGGGGGCGGCTGCTGCTTCCGCCGCACAATCTCTACAATCAGTGGGGATGAGAGGCGCTCGAACTCCTTCATCATGATCACCTGGTTGAAGTGCGACTCCCTCACTATGAAGTTCAGGCAGTGCTCCTGGGACAGAGGGGCACAGGAGGCAGCTGGAGTCAGGCCCAGGCCCAGGCTGGGTAGCAGAGCTTGCAGTGAGGAACAACGGAACACCCCATCCCACCAAGGAAGGCCTGGGCTGGCAGGCACTCCCAGCTGCCAGGCTGACCCCAGCGTGTACCTTAAGCTGGCCCAGCTGTAGCCTGGCAGCGCTCTCACACACAACCAGGACATTCTGGAGATCCACAGAGGCTTCGATGTACTGCCGACACAGCTGCTCAAGACGGCACAGCTGGAAGCTCAGCGCCAACTTGTACACATCCATGATGAGCAGCACGTCCTCGACATGGCCTGCACCAGAACACCCTGAGCCTGGGGCCCGCCCGGGAAAGGAGGGCTCCCTCCAGGAACAAGAGGGTCGGGGCTGCAAGATGGCAGCCGGACCGCATGCCAACTGACTACGGCTTGTGCCTCAAGGCACCTGTAACGGACCTAGCAGCACCCCCTGCGTCTGCTGCCCATCCCCAGCCTGGTCCACACCACCCATACCCGAGGCAGACCTTTCCGTGGGTACTTGATCTTGTCTGTGTAGAGAAACTGCATGAGCACCTCGAATGGCCGGGCCTCGGCCTCACGGATGGCCACACGTAACAGGGGTGGCCGTGCCCTTCCCACAGCTGCACCAGGGACCTCCCTGGGTGCGAGGGCCCCATCCTCCTCCAGCTTCTGTGGGGAAAAGGGAACTCAGGGCACCCTAGTAGACAGTGGGCAAAGCTTCCCAGTCACGAGGGCTAAAGGAGACCTTACCTGGGCCAGCCACTCTCGAGCCTGCAAGATCT